TATGCATCCAGTAATTTAAACATTACACCAACTCCACGCGACTCACAGTATTACAATTTGTGGACACTGCAAACACAGCCTTGCTCATAGCTACCCTGCTGCACCCTTGTTTGTTTGTTTTTTCTTTGAGTTTTTAGCACTTTTTTTTTGGGGGGGGGGTGGTGTTGTTGCTGTTGTTGTTGTTGTTGTAGTTAGGATTTGTTTTGTTTAGCTAAGGTCAATCGAATCCCTTCTTAGTCAAGGGCATAAAATCAGAGCAACCACCAACCTACAGGTCGTGTCACAAATATTGCTTGGCTTCCTGATCTGTCGCTCGGAGCCCCCTGACCACAAGGCTGCAAAACAATTAGATCTAACAAGGACTGTTTTGGACGTACAGCCGAGCCTGCTCTAACGGTCACGTGTTCGTCCAAGACAATTACCTGTTCAAACGACCACTTCCCACTTTTGTCCAGGAGTTTTTTTTTTATCCACTATGATAACGACATTCCAAAGCGTCCTCTGTCTAAGAAGACAATCACTGTTCTTCTCGACAACGGATGGCTTTCTTGGATATTTTTCACTGTAATTTATTTGAGTTTGTCTCTGCCCCCCCCCCCCTTCTAAAAAAAACATGACGTGAAGGCCCTATGACCACTGGTCAAGAAAACGTCTGCATAAACAGCACGGATCAAGGAAGCAACGTCACGTGTTCTATGCAAGGAGAAACAGGCGAGGACAGTGAGCACAGCAACATGGCGCTCTACTCCTTCTTTCTGATTGGTCAAGTCTTGCTTGGCATTGGCTCCTCCCCCATGTTCACCATTGGCCTCACCTATGTTGACGAGAACAGCAAAGCGAAAATGACGTCATTGTATACTGGTAGGATTCGACCTTGGCTTTATTTTGTTTTGGGGTAGCCTGCTTGGACTAGACTTAACTAGCCTGCATTGCCTGTAGCGTATCATTACCTTTTCTTTCTCTCTTGTTTCTTTTTTTAAAGGACCCCCACCCCCTACACACACACAATTTTAAAGGGTTTTTTAAAAATCAATTATAACCATCACAATTCATGTGTACTTGTTTATCTACTTCCGTCTATATTTGTAACGATTTAATGGATAGTTTCTTCGTGAACGAATGCAAAAGACTCGAGTTCGACCCCAATACGGAGCAGTCTGTTTCCTATTGCAGATTTGTTTTGTCTGCCGGTATAGTATATATCTCTATAGATATCTATGTCTTTCTCACAGCTCCGACAGGCAAAGTCGAAGTAACTTGTACCACGAAATATCTGATTTGTGTCAATGGGGTTCTAAAACGTTTATACTCAGTCGTTCATTGGTTATTACACGTATACATGTAATTATACATTTGTGTATTTCAACTTTAGCTGACCAAAGTTGTTTATTGAAATGTTTTATAACTCACCCACACATGGAAGCACGCACGCACATACTCTCTCACGCACACAGACACACACACAGACACAGACACACACACACGCACACACACAAACACACACACTCGAAATACCC